GCATCTGCCTGGGGTGGGGTGGACAGGTTGGGACCGTGTGCCCTCCCTCCCGGGTCATCGGCTTCTCTCTGGGCAACTTCACTTTTAGTCCAGGAAGTCTGAGGGAGGAGGAGAGAGCTCAGTGGCTTCTGTCACATCCTGGGCAGAGAACAGACAGCAGAGATGAGAGAGTCCAGATACTGGAGGCCCTGCAACTGGCGGGTGAGATGTGGGGTGCTGGGAAAGTAGGGAGGTGGAGCCTGGACATGCAGGGCCTGAGCTCCGCACTGGGCAGGGGCGGGGGACCCAGTTTGAGTGAACGTTTATTGTGCATCTGCTTTGGCACATTCCCAGAGACAATCTCATTTGAGCCTCACAGTGACCCCCAAGAGGAATTGTGCCCATTTTACGGATGGGAAACTGAGGCACAGAGCAGTTAAGCGACTAGTTTGAGGACACACAGCACGAGAGGAGCACAGCCTGCATTTCTGGGCTGATACGCTGATGCAGGCCCACACCGGAGGCTGGAGTATTGGAGCTAGATTTAACTTACTCAGAGATGGGGGAGACAGGCACCCCACGTGTCAGGGGCCCCTCCTGGCTTGGATCCTCCCGTCTGCTTACTCTCTTTTTTCTCTCCCTCCTCCCTGTCTCCTTAGTCTTCTTCCTGTGGTGCCAACAGAAGGAACGGGCCAGACAGGAGAGGGAGAGTCTGCGGAAGGCCACCAGGGCCACACAGACGACAGGGAGCTTCCCCCATGTCTGGCACTTTACTGCTGCAGGTGCAGCCTGGGTGGCGCCACTGAGCCCCCAGCACCAGAGAGCTTGGCTGTGCAGGTAGGACACCCTTCCCTTTTTTTTTGAGATGGGGTCTCACTCTGTCACGTAGGTTGGAGTACAGTGGCACCATCTTGCTTACTGCACCCTCCACCTCCCTGGCTCAAGCGATCCTCCCACCTCAGCTTCCCAAGTAGCTGGGACCATAGGCACGCACCACCATGCCCAGCTAATTTTTTGTATTTTTAGTAGAGACAGGGTTCCACCATGTTGCCCAGGCTGGTCTCGAACTCCTGACCTCAAGTGATCTGCCCACCTTGGCCTCCCAAAGTGCTGGGAATCCAGGCGTGAGCCAGCGTGCCTGGCCCCCACTTCCCTTTAAGTCAGCTCTTAACTCCTAGTATTGAGAGGCAAGGATGCAAATGGGAAATGAAAGACCAGCCCCATCCACTGAGCATGCCTCAAGAAACATGCTAGCTGCCCACTGGCTGGGAATTGGTTATAAGAAAAGGCCTTAGTCCCCAGCCTTCCACCTCTTCCATCATCACAGTGGAACCCATGGGCTGGTGGTGGGAACAGACAGGAAACTGGCATCCCAAGGTGTAATGGTGAGTACTCACCCTGGCTTAAGTGTTGGTGAAGAGAAGGAACATAGATCCTGTGATGCTTTCTTTTTTTGTCTTCCTAGGGTGGTTAACTTTTTATCAAGGGGCATTATTATTATTATTATTTGACGACAGACCTCGGCTCTGTCACCCAGGCTGAGTGCAGTGGCACGATTCTCGGCTTCACTGCAACTCTCCACCTCCACGGGTTCAACGATCTCCATGCTCACCTTCATAAGATAAGCTGGGATTACAGGCACATGCCAACCATGCCCAGCTAATTTTTTTGATTTTTTAGCAGAGTCGGTGTTCAACCATATTAGGCTGGTTTAAGAACTACTGACCCTTAAGGTGATCCACGCACACTCAAGCCTCCAAGTGGTGGATTACAGGCATTGGAGCCACCACTAGTATATAGCGACGGCATGATATTGGAGCCATGTTTTTGTGTTGTTTTTCTCGCTTCTGTTTTTATGTTCCCGAGAGGATCTCACGCTACTTCTGTGAGCAGGTCAGGGCCTAGGAGTGTAGGTGGAGGACAGTGAGTCTCTGCACATCACACGCTACGAGAAGGCCGCTAGGGCTCTCCTAGTTTACTCCAGTATCTTCCATCTCAAGCTACAACAAGATATCTCGGACTCACAGGCCCGCCCCGACACTCGATAGGGCACCGACTAAGGGGATTGACTTTCTTTCGATATAATAATAAATAGAAACAAAGAATTTCAACTTGGCGTAGACACAGCGAGTGGGGGTCGCGCGAGTCGTCCCGTGAGCCTGGGGTGAGTCGGCCGGCGTGTCTCATGCCTCCCAAAGATGCTGGGTGCATTGACAGGACGTTGAGCATTGGTGCCGCTGGCTTGAAAAAGGTTTTTGTTTGTTTATATTAATAAATTAAAGACCTCGAGATGACTTAGTCAACCAGACTGCCGATAGCGTGGGACCTTATGGCAAACTCTAACTACGAATATATACTTGCAACAATTGGAAATGTGAATATCCTGTGGCGGCATTTTGTATCTTACTCAAAAGTAAGCAGATATGGAATAATAAAGCCCCAGCGGCACCAATTACCCCAGCTTCAACAAAAATCAGCGGCTCTCTTGAAGCTTGTTTCATGTGTACTCTCAGGGAATAGCATCCCCCGCTGCCAAATTATTTTTGAGGCAAATCCCCATGCGGATTATACCCATTTTCATCCATAAATACTTTTGCATTGCCTCTCTAAAAGATAAGGCTCGGATTAAGACAACACAGACCACTGGCCGGCCGCAGTGGCTCATGCCTGTAATCCCAGCAGCATTCGTGGCGTAGGCCGAAGGCAGGTGGATTACTTGAGTCAGGAGTCTCGAAACCAGCGCTGACCAACATGGGTGAAAACCCTCGTCTCTGACTAAAATTGACAAAAATTTGGCGACGTAAATGGGAACACTTGTAATCCCAGCCTACTCGGGAAGCGTGAGCACGGAAATTGGCTTGACACCCAGAGGAGAGGTTTGCAGGTGAGCTGAAGTTCATGCCACTGCACCCAGCCTAGGCGACAGAGTGAGACCTCCATCTCAGAAAGTGAAATAAATAAATACATAATCAACTACGATACCCGACCTCTCACACCTGAAAAATAATGAAACAGCTATTCCTTTAATATCACCGAATATCTGGCCAGTATTACATCTTCCAATTGTTTTGCAAGTATGATATTGTGTTAGAGGTTTGCAAATAAGTCCACGTATGAGTCGTTGGTTGATAAGTCATTCGAGTCTTTTAATTTGTAATTAAAAAAAAAATTTTAGCCGGCGCAATGGCTCAAGCCTGTAATCCCAGCACTTTGGGAGGCTGAGATGGGCAGATCACGAGGTCAGGAGATCAAGACCATCCTGGCTAACACAATGAAACCCCGTCTCGTACTAAAAAAAAAAAATACAAAAAACTAGCTGCGGCGTGGTGGCGGCACCCTGTAGTCCCAGCTAACTCGTGAGGCTGAGGCAAGGAGATGGCGTAAACCCCAGGAGGCGGAGATTGCAGTGAGCTGAGATCGCAGACCTCACTGTCGCACTCAGCCTGGGTGACAGAGCGAGCAACTCCATCTCAAAAAAAAAAAAAATTTAGAGACAGGGTACTTACTCTGTCATAACCAGGCTGGAGTACCGTGGTGCAATCATGGTCTCACTGTAGCCTCAAATTCCTAGGCTCAAGGGATCTTCTCATCTCTGCTTCCAAGTACTGGGACTATAGGTGCGTATCACCCACGCTGGACTAATTTTTAATTTTTTGTAGAGATTCTATTTTTTGCCATGTTGCCCAGGCTGGCCTCGAACTCCTGGACTCAAGCGATTCACCCACCTTGGCCTCCCAAAGTGCTGAGATTACAGGTGTGAGCTACCATGACTGGTGAATTTTTAAAATTTTTGGTAGAGACAGAGTCCCACTGGTGAGCCATGATCGCACCCCTGCACTCCAGCCTGAGGTCAAGCAATCTTCCCACCTCGGCTTCCCTGAGTGCTGGGATTACAGGTGTGAGCCACCACGCCCAGCCTGTTAAAATCTTTATAAACTATAGGCTCCCCTTCATTTTTTTTTTCATTGCATGTTATTTGTTGAAGAAACCAATTTGCTTACCTGCTAGTTTCTCACTCTCTGCATTTTGCTGACTACATCCCCCCGTGTAGTTTTCCGTGAGAACTTTTAGCACAGGAAGCTGACCTAGACCAAGGTTCGGTGTTGGTGTGAAGGATGAAGAGTTGCCTGGTGGAGGGAGATCAGAGAAGGGTAGAGTGTTCAGAGGCCTCTGGCCAGGAGGGTAAGATCCCGAGGTGTAGCAGAGCCGAATTGGAGCCTTGTTAGTACAGGGTAGGGGGCGCTGAGGGTAGTTGAAGATGAGATTGGAAAAATCTGTGGGGGCCTTGTTGGCCATGGGGAGGGGTTGAAATTTGATTGTCGAGCAAGGAGGCTACCACTGGAGGATTAGCAGGCGACTATGATGATTTGATTTGAGATTGGAAAAACACCACTGGGTTACGGAATAGGAAATGACTGGAGGAGGCTGAGAGTGGATGCAGGGAGGCCAGGTCAGAGGCTGCTGAGGCCACCGCGCTGCCAGAGGTGACAGTGTCATGGCCTGAGCAGGTGACGTGCGATGCATCTTCAAAGCAGCCCCGTTTTACAGATGAGAAAACAGAGACTGGGCCGGGCACGGTGGCTCAAGCCTGTAATTCTAGCACTTTGGGAGGCCAAGGCGCCTGGATCACTTGAGGTCAGGAGTTCGAGACCAGCCTGGCCAACACAGAGAAACCCCATCTGTACTAAAAATACAAAATACAAAAAAAAAAAAAAAAAAAAATTAGCCGGGCATGGTGGTGCATGCTTGTAATCCCAGCTACTCTGGAGGCTGATGCAGGAGAATCGCTTGAACCCAGGAGACAGAGGTTGCAGTGACCAGAGATCACACCATTGCACTTCAGCCTGGGCAAAAGAGCGGAACTCTGTCTACAAACAACAACTGCAATAACAGCAACAACAACAAAATATGGAGGCTCAGAGCAATGAAGCGGCTTGCCCAAGGCCTGGGTAGTGTGTCTGGCAAAGGTAGGCAGCTGGAACCGCAGTCATCAGACCTTGCAATTGACATGGGTATTTTCCCTCTGTTCTCCCAGGTGCTTTGGGGCCTGGCAGCAGTTCGTGCAAAGAGGGTCCCGGTACCGAGACCACCTGGCTGACCGCCGGACAGGGACCCTGAGGAAATGCCTGGAACAGTGGGTGCGGATGAAACAGCTCCGGGACTCAGATGGGGCAAAGGTGACCCAGCTGTCCCTCTGTCGGCAGAAAGCAGGTGAGCTAGTGTTGGCTTCTGCCCCAGCAAACCATGTCACTTAATCCCCTTCTTCAGTGGGCCCTAGTTGAATATGTGAATTCTTGTGGGGGGTGGTAGAACTGGGGCTTTCTAGGAGGGCAGCGTGTAGTCCTGGGAGGGGGCAGGAGGGGTCCCAAAGTGGGCAGGCCCCGGCTGAGCCACATCCCTATGTCCCATCGCGAGCTGCTGTGGGTGAGACACTTGGTTCTGCTTCTCCCACTGCAGGCTCCCTCGGTGCTGGTTATCCCAGATCCCGCCCGGAAGGGATGTGGGACCCGCTCTTGGGAAGCTCCTGGTGTGATGGGGGCACACAGCCCTAATCTCTACCCCAAAACTTAACTGGGGGCCCAGTGTAGTGGCTCGCGTCTATAATCCCAGCAATTTGGGAAGCCGAGGAGAGTGGATCACCCGAGGTCACGAGTTCGAGATCAGCCTGGCCAAACTGGTGCAACCCTGTGTCTACTAAAAATACAAAACTTAGCCAGGTGTGGTAGCACACCTGTAATTCCAGCTACTCGGGAGGCTGAGGCACAAGGATCGCTTGAACCGAGAAGGCGGAGGTTGCAGTGAGCTGAGATCACGCCATTGCATGGGCAACAAGAGCAAAAAAAACAAAAAAACAACAAAAAAACCCCCAGCACTTAACTGGGGAAGATGGGATCTTTGAGGCCACCTGGAGGGGAGGGCTTGGAAGCGCTGGAAGGGGACAAGAGACGAGAGCTCCCAAGAGGGGCCCGAGGCAGCAGCTATCAATGGCTGTGGGCAGAGTGAGGTCAGTGGGGGGGCAGCTGACTGGCCTCTTGATGGTTTTTCAGGACGTGCGGCTCTCCACACTGCAGGCCCTGCAGCCTGTGGCCTGGGTACAGTGGGCCAGGCCCAAGGGCTGCAGGAGCAAGGCCGGGGCTCTCTGCAGGATGCTTGCCGGACACTGGCCCTCTGCCGGGCGCTGCTGCTGTGGAGGACGCGGCTTTTCCAGTGCCAGTGGGCCAAGTAGGTGTCCCCAAGCTTGTGACCTGGGGTTGGGCCTGGGGACTGTGGTATGGGCACATGAGCAGTGCTCAGCACCAGGAGGAATGCGGGAGGAGTGTCCCATAGGGCAGTAACTGCATCCCACTCCTCCCCGTGGCCCTGCACAGGCCCTGGCACACTGTGGTGCCCAGCCGATGTCAGGCCCTGGGAGGTGGCCTAGGGACACTGGAACAATGGTTGAGCAGAGGTCCACTGGGGGCCAGGGGGCTGCCAGAGACACAGACATAGAGCTCTACAGGGGTGGCCGGAGCCCTAGTGAATGCCCGTCTCCCTGCCAAGTGCAAGTCCCGTGGTGGCAGGAACCATGTCTGTGTGGCTGTCGTTGCTGGCTCCCAGCTCCCTGCAGGTGCCTGGCATGTTGCAGGCACAGAGTAAATACTGTAAAGGAACAAGGGCAGGAGCCAGGGATCAAGCTCTTATCTCCTCCCCCATCGGCCTCATTACACAACTAGAGAAAGTGAGGCTCAGAGGGCCGGAGCAGGTTGCTCTAAATCCCAGTGGGAGTCAGGAGCAAGAAGGTCCTGTGTGAGACCTTGTTGCTGCCCTCACACAAGATGGTCACTGCTGGAGTTCAGAGCCCAGACAGAGGCTCTGGGTGAGGGGAGGGTGGCGATCAGGAGCAGCCAGCTTCCCCGAGGGGATGTCAGGAGGAATGGAGGCCAGCAGTTGCAGGGTTAAAAATTCTGTCCTTGGCTGGGCGCGGTGGCTCACGCCTGTAATCCCAGCACTTTAAGAGGCCAAGGCCAGTGGATCACCTGAGGTCAGGAGTTCGAGACCAGCCTGGTCAACATGGCGAAACCCCGTCTCTACTAAAAATACAAAAGTTAGCCAGGCGTGGTGGCAAGCACCTGTAATCCCAGCTACTTGGGAGGCTGAGACAGAAGAATGACTTGAACCCAGGAGGCAGAGACTGCAGTGAGCCAAGATCATGCCACTGCATTCTAGCCAGGTGACAGAGTAAGACTCCGTCTCAAAAAAAAAAAAAAAAGGCCGGGCGCGGTGGCTTAAGCCTGTAATCCCAGCACTTTGGGAGGCCGAGGCGGGTGGATCACGAGGTCAGGAGATCGAGACCATCCTGGCTAACATGGTTAAACCCCATCTCTACTAAAAATACAAAAAACTAGCCGGGCGAGGTGGCGGGCGCCTGTAGTCCCAGCTACTCGGAGGCTGAGGCAGGAGAATGGCGTGAACCTGGGAGGCGGAGCTTGCAGTGAGCCGAGATCGCGCCACTGTACTCCAGCCTGGGTGACACAGCGCGGGACTCCGTCTCAAAAAAAAAAAAAAAAAAAAAGAATTCTGTCCTTGAAAGCCACATACCCACATGGTCCACTTGGACCCTCAGCCTCCTTCAGTGTACCCCTGCAAGTCCAGGAGAATTCAATTCACCGTGACCTTTCAGAATGTGAGGGTACTACTCATTACTCACATGCCTGCCCCACAGCCCCCAGGCCCTCCCTCTCCAGCCCATCCTCTGGCCTTTGGACCTCAGGGCACAGTTGATATCTCCTGGCAGCTCTCCCGGGGCACCCTCCAGGGCCTAGATGAATCCCAGGTCTACTGCTATCCGGAGTTTGGGGAAATGACTTTCCCCCAGGCTCAGCTTTCTTATTTTTATAAGTGAGTGGAGGCAGAAGTACTGGTGTGGTTGTGGGGGTGGACCCTGGCATCTGGGGTCCCTGGGCCTGGGGCTCATCTCCATCTCTGATCAGCTGCGTGGGCTCCCAGCCCGCCCCGGGAGCATGATGAGGCCAGCCAGTAATGCAGGTGGAGCATTAGCTCTATTAGCCAGACGTGGTGGCACGCACCTGTAATCCCAGCTACTCGGGAGGCTGAGGCGGGAGGATCGCTTGAGCCCAGGAGGCAGGGGTTGCAGTAAAGCCTGGGCCACAGAGTCAGACCCTGTCTAAAAAAAAAAAAAAAAAAGCATTAGCCCAGTCAGCCCAGTCTCAGCTGCTTGCTGAGGTCACTCAGAGAACTCTAGAAAAGTCTGGAAGCCCAGGCTGTACCCTGACCATTAAGGCAGAATCCAGGGATGGGACCCTGGTGGGCATCAGTATCTCTTGAAGACCCCAGCGATCCCAGCATGCAGCTGCTGTGGGGGGCGGCAGCGTGGAATGCTAGCCCAGTGTCTGGCCTGTGGTGAGCACCCTTCCAGCCCACCTCTTTCACAGCGGCTGGGGTGGGGTAGCCCTTGCTTGGCCACCCTGCCCAGCCTGGGGGTGAGGCTGGGCTGGGCACTCACCTGCCCCTTCTCTAGCTCCTTCCTCCAGGGCCTGCAGCAGCGGATGCTGCAGCGCAGCCTGAGATGGTGGCACGTGAGGGCATTGGGCCCAGATGCCACATCAAGCTGCACCAAGACCCCCTCGGCTCCGGAGCCAATGGGCAGCAGCACATCCCAAGGCTCTCTGGAGAAGGTGAGAGGTAGGTGGGTGGGGAGGGGCTGGGGCAGGTAGGGGTGGGTGGGTGGAGATTGTGGGAAGGGGACAGGGCGGGGGACCCAGGACTCCACACCTCCTTTCCCAGGTTCCCAGGGCCCCCGCCCTCCCGGAGACTCTCCAGGGGAGCCTTCTGTGGGCAGCTGGGCAGCGGCAGCAGGGGCAGTGCTTTCGGCTCTGGCGGGCACGGGCCTGGCAGTTCCAGGGCACAGCCAGGTGGTACCAGCATACCCTCCAGAGGCGGTAGGGACCCCTCCCCATCCGCCTGCCACTCTGTGGACTTACTGTTTCCCAGCCCCTTCTCCCATCCACCCTTGGCCTTCACAGAAGCAGCCCCTTGGGGTCTGCACCTCAGGGGCCTTCAGTTCCTCCTGTCTTCCTGCCCTGTCCTACTGAGAGGGTGTCAGGGAGCGGTGAGGCACTCTACAGAGTCACTGTTCCTCCTGGAGATTTCACAGCCGAGGTTCATTCATTCATAGCACAATGCATAAGAGTTGGTCTCCCTGGGTTCTAATCCCAGCTTTGCCCCTCACTGGCTGTGTGATCTTGGGCAAGTTGCATAACTTCTCTGTGCCTCTATTTGCCTATCTGTAAAATGGGGTTAATAGTACTCGCTCCAGTGGGGCAGTGGCGAGGCAGGGCACAAACATTTCCCAGTGCCGTGTGTGGCACGTTGTGAGTGCTCAGTCCATAGCAATGTTTATGGCTAGTGGTTGAGCACAGGACTTGGCAGTGGGGGTCTAGAGTCCCACCGTATCCCTCCCACTAGTCATCATGACCCTTGGAGAGGTGCTTGGCCCCTCCAGTCCTCAGCAACCCACCCTCCCATAATGGAAACAGAAGAGTCATCCAGAGCCCCCCACTGCTGGAGAGAAGAGAGAGGAGGGCGGGGCAGGGCTGGCCTGGGATTTAGGGGACAGTGGCCATCCTCAGGGTGGACCCTCCCTTTCCCAGCATCTTCCTCAGCTGGAGCCGCTGGGCAACAGCCCAAGGGGCCTGGAGAGAGCTGGCTTCCCACTGGGCCTGGGATCGGAGCTGCAGGGCTGTGCTGGGCCTGTGGCGTCGGCGGCTGCTGCAGTTGCAGCTGGTGGAGAGGTGGGCCCAGGAGCGGGGCTGGCGACTGGCACGAGATGCCCTATGCCACTGGCACACCTCTTGGCAGGGTGAGTGGAGACTGGGTTGGGGGCACTGCAGGTGAGGGCAGGGCCAGGGTCTGTCTGAGACCGATTGCAGCCCTGGTCAACAACTTGACTGTAACCTCATGGGAGGCCTTGAGGCAGAGGCTAAGCTATATCTGGACTCCTGACCCATAGAAACTGTGAGATAACAAACATCTGTGGTTTAAAACTAATAAGTACTTGGGTAATTTGTTACACAGCCATAGATAACAAATGCAGTTGATCAGAGAGGTCCGCTGAGCTGTGACACTGACTTAGCTGGATTCAAAGAAAACAGGCTGACCAATTCTTACACATTGTGCTATGTATGAGTAAATGAATGGACCTCAGCTGTGAAATTTCCTAGAGGAACAGTGACTCTGCAGAGTGCCTCACCATCCCCCATACCCTCCCATCCCCTAGCAAAGTCTGGTGATGAGATCCCCACAGGCTACACCCAGGAGTCGGGTGGCTGAGCAGAACCTGGGGGCTTGGACTCTGTAGTCTTGAGTTTGAATCCCTGCTCTTCCATACCCTGGTTGTGTGAACTTTAAACAACCTACTTAACCTCTCTGAGTCTCAGCTTACACATCTGTAAAATGGGGATAATGTAGTCCCTACCTCATCACCTTAATATTCATCCTTATCCTTACCTGGCCTTTAGGAGTCACTGGTCTGAGCCCTGAGCTGGGGGAGAAGTGGGCAGAGTCATGGTGCCCTTAGAGGCCAGTAGAGTTAGTCAGAGAGGGTCCCAGGAGGAGGTAAGGAGGGCTCAGCAGGCAGAGCAATGGAGAGAGAAGTTGAGGTGTGGGAAGGGTTCAGCAAAATAGGGCAGTGGGAAGGACTGGATTTGCAGAGCTGGCTGAGGGTGCAGTGTGTTAGAAGCCCTAAGGAATGTGACCAGTGAAGGGAGGAGGGATAGTCCCAAGGCAGGCTTGCTGTCTGGGTCTCCGCCTCTGGGCAAAAAGAGCTGTTGCATGGCCCAACCAGTCTTTCTTTCTTTTTTTTTTTCCCAAGACGGTCTCACTCTGTTGCCCATGCATGCAGTGGTGCGATCTGGGCTCACTGCAACCTCTACCCCCTGGGTTCAAGCAATTCTCCTGCCTCAGCTCCCCTAGTAGGTGGGATTACAGGCGCCTGCCACCATGCCTGGCTAATTTTTGTATTTTCAGTAGAGACAGGGTTTCACCATGTTACCGGGCTGGTCTCAAATTCCTGCCCTCAAGTGATCAACCCACCTCCACCTTCCAAAGTGCTGGGATTACAAGCGTGAGCCACCGCACCTGGCCCCAAGCAATCTTTTTATAACCTGATATCAGAAGTGACATCCCATTGCTTCTGCCAAATTCTGTCTGTTAGAAGCAAATTAATAAACCCAGCCCGTATTCAAGGCGGGGCATTGCCCGGGACAGGAATACAGGATGCTATCTTGGAGGCTGCCCACTACACCAACACATCGCGTTAATGCTGGCAGACAGGGCTGTGGTTGTTCTGGAAAGTCATGTCCTGTCCGCTGGGGACAGCTGCTTACGCAGCCCAGTCATTCCCCAGTGGGAACACTGAGCCAGTGTTTCCAGAACTTCCAGTTTTTACAGAAAAATTGAAAATTAGATTTTTGGGCCGGGCGCGGTGGCTCATGCCTGTAATCCCAGCACTTTGGGAGGCCGAGGCTGGCGGATCACGAGGTCAGGAGATCAAGACCATCCTGGCTAACACGGTGAAACCCCATCTCTACTAAAAATACAAAAAACTAGCCGGGCGAGGTGGCGGGCACCTGTAGTCCCAGCTACTCGGGAGGCTGAGGCAGGAGAATGGCGTGAACTCAGGAGGCAGAGGTTGCAGTGAGCTGAGATTGGGCCACTGCACTCCAGCCTGGGCGTCAGAGTGAGACTCCGTCTCAAAAACAAAACAAAACAAAACAAAAAAACAGAAAATTAGATTTTTACCGGAATTCTCCAGATTCGAAAACATTGTGGCAAAATTAACAAACAAAAACAAACCCAACAACTCTATGAGCTGGGCTGGCCTGGTCACCAGCAGGACACGCGTAATAGAGGCTTTTTAACCCAGACAGTCAGGGCGGCCTTGTCTGTTCCCACCTGGTAGGGAGCGAAGGGCTGGCTAAGCAGAGACCCATGGGGAGAGGCTGGGGTGAGCACCCAGTGGCTCTTCAGCATCTCTCTGGCCCCAGGACAGCAGTTCCTGCATGAAAAGTGCCAGACGTGGGTGCAGGGCCACCTCCAGGGCCTGCAGAGGGCTGTGTTTCGGAGCTGGCAGCAGGCAGCAGCTCGTCAGAGACGCACAGTGACCCGGCCAGAGCAACTGCTACTGCAGAGGTGGGTGGGCCTGGGGGTGGGAGGGTGTTGGTCCTCCCCACCCAAGGAATAGCAAGAAGAGCACCCAGGGGGTGGGAAGCTCAGAGGGTGGCCCAGATAGGAGGCCTATGGCCTGGGGAAAAAGGGGCATGCAGGGAGATCCTAGCCTGGAGACAGAGGGCCATGACCACTGATACCTTATTATCTATTTTGGGAGTGGTGGCAAACCCCAACCCTAACCTGTGGCCCCAACAAGCCCTGTGCTATCTTGGAGGCTGCCCACTACACCAACACATCGCGTTAATGCTGGCAGACAGGGCTGTGGTTGTTCTGGAAAGTCATGTCCTGTCCACTGGGGACAGCTGCTTACGCAGCCCAGTCATTCCCCAGCGGGAACACTGAGCCAGTGTTTCCAGAACTTCCAGTTTTTACAGAAAAATTGAAAATTAGATTTTTGGGCCGGGCGCAGTGGCTCATGCCTGTAATCCCAGCACTTTGGGAGGCCGAGGCAGGTGGATCACTTGAGGTCAGGAGTTCAAGACCAGCCTGGCCAACATGGTGAAACCCCATCTCTACTAAAAATATGAAAAATAGCCAGGCGTGGTGGCAGGTGCCTGTAGTCTCAGCTACTCAGGACACTCAGGCAGGAGAATCACTTGAATCCAGGAGGTGGAGGTTGCGGTGAGCCGAGATTGTGCCACTGCACTCCAGCCTGGGTGACTAAGCAAGACTCCGTCTCAAAAAAAAAAAAAAAAGGAGAAATCCACTCCTCAGAAACCTACCATAATGCCCATTGTGAGGAGTCACAGCAAGGAGGTGTCTGCTGTACACCGTTGCTAAGAGAAGACAGTGCAATCTTCATTGAAGTAAAGATGTTCTGGTGGAACATGTATACAGTTTATGAATGCACATTGTAAAACCAAGCAGAGGGACGCAGAATGGCTCCTCCCACAGTTCAGTACAAATGCGAATGTTCAGTGTCCCCATAGGGGCAGTGAACTGTTGGCTACAGAATGGCTGACGTCTGTGCTTTTGCATCTGAGGGTGTAGATGGGTTGTTTTTTTTGAGATGGAGTCTCGCTCTTGTTGCCCAGGCTGGAGTGCAATGGCACGATCTCGGCTCACCGCAGCCTCTGCCTCCCAGGTTCAAGCAATTCTCCTGCCTCAGCCTCCTGAGTAGCTGGGATTACAGGCATGTGGCACCACGCCCGGCTAATTTTGTATTTTTAGTAGAGACGGGGTTTCTCCATGTTCATCAAGCTGGTCTCGAACTCCCAACCTCAGGTGATCTGCCCCTCCTCTGCCTCCCAAAGTGCTAGGATTACAGGCGTGAGCCACTGCACCCAGCTGTAAATGTTTTTTTTTCTTGGCTTCTCAGTGAGTGGAAGATGGTGTTCCTCTCCCTCACCAACCACCTGGGCATGTGATGGGAGGCAGGACGTGGCTGGTGTGGGACTTGAACCCATACTGCTGGTTCCCATGCCTTTGCAGGGCAGGCCCTGCCCTCTGAGGCTGAGATTCCAAGACGGAAAGCCAGTGCTTTCACCCGTTCCTAGTCCTTTAGTGTTTTGTGGGAGCTTTGCTGGTGTAACATTGAATAAATGTGACTTTTGACTCTGAGAACGAGACAAGCCCTCCCATGCATCTGTTTTTGGTTTGTTTTGTTTTTTTGAGATGGAGTTTCACCCTTGTCACCCAGGCTGGAGTGCAGTGGCGCGATCTCGGCTCACTGCAACCTCTGCCTCCCAGGTTCAAGCAATTCTTCTAAAATTCCCAAGTAGCTGGGATTACAGGTGCCCATCGCCATACATGGCTAATTTTTGTATTTTTAGTAGATACAGGGTTTCACCATGTTGGTCAGGCCGGTCTCAAACTGACCTCAGGTGATCCACTCACCTTGGCCTCCCAAAGTGCTGGGATTACAAGCATGAGCCACCACACCTGGCCCCATGGGTCTGTTTTACAGCTACTTCCAGGCCTGGTGTGAGGTTGTAAGAGACACAGGGGTGCTCCGGGCCCAGCGTCAAGCCTTTCAGGATGACCTGAGGAGAAGGGCACTGGGGGCCGTGTTTGCCACATGGCGGGAAGCCCAGGCAGCTGCAGCCGGGGCACAGGAACAGCGTGTGGCCCAGGCCTCCCTTGCCCACTGGAGAATCTGCGGGCAGCGAGGCCAGGAAGATGGGCAGCCGAAGAAGGCCCGGGCCCCGCAGGCCTTCCCAGCATGGCCAGTGGCCCCGGACGTGCACCGTGAGGCCCAGCAGCAGGAAGGAGAGAGTGCTGGGGCCCAGGCAGCCTGGTGCTGGACTCGGTGCTGGACTTGGTGCTGGGCACTGTGGGCGCCCAGCTGTCGGGGCCAGGTCAGCCAAGCCCATGCTTCCTGGAAGCTGCGAGCCTGGTGAGTGCCGTGGTCTAAGCGCAGCCCCACTCTGTGCTTCCAGCTCAGGCCTCGAGCCTGTTTTTGGCAGGGGTAGAGCGTAATTCGTGGCTGGGTGGCAGGGCAAAGGCTCGAGGGTGATTGGGGGTGACAGGGAGAGGCCGCCCTAGCCATCTCCCTGTCACCCCGTCCTGGACCACATCCTGGCACCACCTCTTGCTGTGTGTCCCCTCCTTGGGGAAGTCTCTGATGGTCCTGCCTGGCAGTCACCAGCACAGCCAGCCACTCAGCAAGCGCCATAAACGCCAGGGAAGGGGAGGCAAAGTGGCACTGGCAGGACTGTTCCCTCTCTGCCCCTAAACAGGATGTTTGTCCCTGTCTGCGATTTTCTCCTTCCAGGTCGCTCTCCATCCTGTTTACCCAGACTCTCCCTCCAGAAGAGGGAGTGGGAAGTGGCTGGGGCTTGGCCTGGAGGGCCCCCTCCCGCAGGGCACTGGAAGGGCTCCCTGCGGAGATCCTGGCCCTGATGGCCCTGGCTGCAGACTCCTTCCTCTCCCGCAGGGTCCTAGAGGCCTCGACGCAGTCGGGGGCTTGCGGCGGTGTCCAACGAGCCATCGTCACCCAGCTCCATCGTACCCAGCTCCGGCAGGCTGGGCTCAGACGCTTCCTGCAGATGGCGCAGCTCAGGGTGCGGCTTGGACTGCGGGCCAAGGCCCCAGGGGCCGGCAAGGTCCGCCCCAAGCCCCAGGCTGACCTCACGCTCTGGCCCCAGATGGCCAGCAGGGGGAGCCTGCTGCTGGACGCCCCAGCCCCTTGGAAGCAGGTGAGGGGAGCTTAGGCAGGACGGGAGGTCCAAAAATGACCCTCGGACCACCGGCCTTAGAATCAGCTTGATCCGGCCCATGGCGGCAACATGGTTGGATGCCTCCCCAGGGGCCCAGCAGCCTTGTACACACCACCTCTCCCCGGTTCTCAGTCAGCCTCTGACAAGCAACTCTGAATCCATCAGCAAAGATGAACCCAGCACCTCTCGAGTGCCAGCCCACTGCAGGTCTGGACACAAAGACCAGCGTGTTAGGTCACAGCCTGTTAGGGAGACACTGAAATGCATGCTTTCTCACGGTGCAGCTGAAGATCAGGATAGGTACACGGAACAGTAGCATTTTTTTTTTTGTTTTTTTATTTTTGAGACAGAGTCCGGTTCAATTGTCCAGCCTGAAGCAGAGGTGTGATCTCAACTCACTGCAACCTCCACCTCCCAGGTTCAAGCGATCCTCCCACCTCAGCCTCCTGAGTAGCTGGGACTACGGGTGCGTGCCACCACACCTGGCTAATTTTTGTATTTTTAGTAGAGACGGGGTTTCACCATATTGCCCAAGCTGGTCTCGAACTCCTGAATTCAAGTGATCCTCCCACCTCGACTTCCCAAAGTGCTGGGATTACAGGTGTGAGCCACTGCACCAGGTCAAGTTTTTTTTTTTTTCCTTATTGGAAAAGTGAAATATGCTCATTACAGAAAAGTCAGAAAATATAAAGTAGAAAAATACCAAAATCTCTTTCATAATTCTCTCTACCCAACGGCATTGGTCAGTCCCTCTCCAGACCAGAAGCAGTTAGTTCTGACACCAACAAATGGTGATAAGAGGTTGATGGCCTAGCAAGAGGGAAGAAGCCACCACAAAACCAAACAGAAAATGACACTGCACAGCAGTCTGGGGACATGTCCTTGAAGGACACAGCCCCAAAGATACTGGCAGGTGAGGTAGTGTCCCTAAGATCAACAGGCATCATCAGGAATCTTATTTCAGAGTGCCACAAAGAATACATTTTAGAGAAGGTTCTAAGCGAAAAAGCTGACTTTTTTTGGTCGTCGTTTTTTGTTTTCAGACAGTGTCTCACTCTGTTGCCCAGGCCGGAATGCAGTGGTGCGATCACAGCTCACTGCAGCCTCAACCTCCAGGGCTCAAACGATCCTTCCACCTCAGCCGCGTGAGTAGCTGAGACTACAGGCGTGTGCCAACACACCCGGCTAATTTTATTTTTTTTGTAGAAATGGGGTCTCACTGTGTTGCCAGGGCTTGTCTCGAACTCCTGGGCTCAAGCGATCTGCCTGCCTTGGCCTCCCCAACCGCTGGGCAGGCCCATTGCACCATGAGCCACCGTGCCTCCCGGTTTTTGTTTTTTAAATGGAATTGAAAGGAACTAGCCTTGGCTAGTTGCAGAATTCACACATATGGGGCTATGGCAACAGCAGGTTCTAGGGTCTCAGGGTCTCTTCTTTCTAAATAAGCTACAGGGCAATTGCTTCTCAGAGTACTTTTACATTTCTATTCAAGACAAGGATCCCATATACTGATGGAGAATCCGAGGCCTCTAGAAACTAAACGCTGGGAATGGCACCTAGGGTGCTTAATTCCAGGGCCCCCTCTTTTCTGCCACAGGCACACATGCCCCAGCAGCCCCTTTGGAGAGCCCCTCTCTGTAGAGAGTACTAGCCGGGGGTTCGGACTCTGGAGTCAGACCACTTCCGAGGTATGAGGCCTCAGACAAGTAACTCAGCTTTGACAAGTTTTAAGTGGGGAGAGAAACAGCCACCTCCCAGGGCTGTGCTCCCAGGCACTGAGGGGTAACTTCTAGGGGCCCACCCCACTGTTGGAATGTCTTCGGCCACATGGGGGAATGGGTGGAAGAAGCAGGGATGTGTCCTGCCAGCCAAGAAATCCCAGTGGGGCCCCAGGAGGTCCAAGCCCATGGGGTTCAGGTGCTCCTTTCTGGTTGTTCCTGCAGACCCGCAGCTGCTGGACACAGGCCACGGGGCTGGTGCCGCCCGCGCCATCACTGCAGTGCAGCCTGGCTGGACAGAGGAAGCCAAGGGGAACGGCCTGGGCTCAGAGTAAGGAGACCTTGCCCCGGAGGACAAACAGTGTCTGAAGTGCAGGGGTGAAGTGGTCTCCAGTCCTCAGGGGCCTGGAAATCAGCTCCTTGGGACACGGTGTTATGTGTACTGACCATTCTCCCCATCCATTCCCTCTTAGGAATGTTTCAGGTGTTCTGAGAAAACTTTGTGTTCCTGTCCCCCTCTGTGATTTCTCCTTGGGCAGCAGCCCAGAGCGGCTAGAGGCGTGGGAAGATGGGGGGCAGGGCACAACTGAGCTCAGCACCTTCCTCCACGCTCCTCACTGTACTCAACTCCTAGGCGGGCACTAAGAGCAGCTGCCTTCTTGGACCCACATTAAGCTTTTCTGACTCAACTCCCCTTTCCAGGGTGCGGAGAACATTCCCTCTGCCCTGCCTTCCAGCTCTGGCCGCAGTGGCCTGGACAGAGTAGCTGGGTCCCAGGCCTGCCCCTGTGGATGAGGGACCAGGGACCAAGAGGACACTCCAGCCCTGAGCCCAGGGCCCTCAAAGCCCAAAGCGAGGCGCATAAAAGGAGGCTGGGGTGAGAGGAGCTGTGTGTGCAGTTTGGAGGGTCCGAGGGATGGGGGCAGGGGCCGAGGGGCTCGCCTGAGCCATGGCTAGAGCTGGGCCCTTTGGCCAGTGCTCTTTCTTGTAGGATCCTGGAAAAGCAGGCCCAGGCCCATGGCTCTGCCCTCCTTCCGGCCCTGAAGGGTCACGATGCTCTTGGCCATCAGGAGGAAGTACCTGCAGCACCAGTGCCTTAAGGCACTGCTTCATGGGCTGCGGGGTTCCCAGCAGGCCAGGTGCCTGGCAGCAGCATGGCAGCACTGGGTGGATGCCCAAGGGGCAGAACAGCTGGCACGGACCCTGGTGAGTGGGCGCAGCCCCTCTCCATAATGACCATCTCCCATTTCACCTCATACTCAACCCTAACCCCTCTCAAAAGTATGGCCCTTGGACCTACTGACTCCAAAACCTTGGGGGACAGGCCCAGGAATCTGCATTGTTAATACTCAGATGACACCCCCTTGCCATAGCCCTTTCACTCTCGTGCCGCAGAGGTGTGGGGGGAGAAAGGCAGAAGGGCTGGCGACTGCGGGGGAGCATGAGCGCAAGAGGCCGCCTCTGCCAACTGTCCCCAAAGCTCAGAGAGTGGCACCTGAGATCGGCCTGGCGGACGTGGTGGCAGCGGATCCTGCGACTGCGAGTGGCTGAGCAGTTAAAGCAGCAGGAAGATGGCTGGGTCCTTTCCCAGGTACTACCCTCTTCCCTGCACTCCACCCAGCCAGCCTTCCAGAAGCCTGTGCCACAGCTATGCACCGTGGATCTGAGGTTTCCCTGCTTGCCAGCCCCAGGGCCCCTTTGTTTTCAGGGGAGGGGGTCAGTTCCATTACAGAACACACAGGCTGGATGCTGGGGCCCTTGATTTGATTTGTGGCCCCAGCTCAGGCCAGGCCCACCCGGTCCCTCAGTTTGGGAAGGTGTGGCATGAGGTATGGCTGCCGCTCAGACTAGCCCATGGAGGGCCTAGGTCCTGAGCACCCCCTCCCTCATTTGCTCTGCTCTGAGTACAGCTTCCCAGATCACCATCGGATCTATTCTGAGCTTGTGCATTTGGCCTGGGCAAGACTGGCTGGCTGCTTGGGGCAGAGGGAGGGGCCCTGGGGACAAAAGGAGCTGGGCACAGGTGTTGCTCTAGCAGGCACGGCACAGACCCTGGAGAGAGCCCACAACAATAGCATTTCCTCCCCTCCCTGGTTCCAGGCCTTTAAGAAGTGGCACCAACGCCTGGCAGCCAGGAGCCCAAGGAGAGGAGCTGCCAGTAGCCCAAGACCCTGGAGCAAGCCGGGCCCTAAGGGCCCTGAGAGTAGACAGAAGCTGCCGGAGCCCCGCGGGGTTGGGGGTTTGGGGCAGAGCATGGGGCCCAGCTGCAGCTGTGACGTGTTCCCAGAGAATAAAAAACAGAACTGAACTCGGCTTTCCCAGGCAAGGAACCATGCCCCACACATCCGGGGAGTGATGACAGAGGGGACAGCTTGAAGAGCTCTGAAGGACAATAAAACCCACTCCTCAGTCCTAGCTGCTTCTCTCAGTCTCTCCTAGCGGCCGCCCTTCTGCCCTAGCCAGTGAGGCCAGGAAGGGAGTAAAGAAGACGTCCCACAATTGCATCCACCCCTTTGGCCATCAGGCTGCTCTGGGCCACCCCACCCCACCCAGCCTGCTGGGATCCAGAACAGGAAACAGTCCATCTGCACCTGCCAGTCACTGCCCCCGGGCCATGGGGCTTGCAGGTGACTCCTGGGGAGCTGTGCCAGGCAGATAACCTCTGGGACAGGACGAGGGGACGAGGAGGGCAGCTGGCAGGACGAGGGTCTACCTGAAAAATAAGCCAGGAAGCTGGGCTGCTGCACAGCCCCAGGCAGGTCTGGGGCCCCTGTGCTGGTGAATCTCATCTTGGCTTTTGACAGGGAACGGGGTAGCCTTAGGCCTCCACAGCCAGGGAAAAGGGGAAGGCCACGACCCCCACCAAGCACAAGGGTTCAGACTGCTGCTGTCAACCCTTAAGGGGTACTTTTTCTCTCAAAGCTCAGAATAGACAACTGTGCCAGAAAGCAGCATGGTAGGTGTCAGCCCAATGCCCATCCAGGGGGCTGGTGCCATGGACGGCTAAGCGGGCAGGCAGGGCAGTGGTATGGCCCTTCACTCACAAGTAGGTGGGGCCCAGCTGCCCACCTCTAGGAGGTGGAAGGGTACAGCACTTTGCCACATCTCTTCTACGATGCCACCAGTGCCTGGCGCCCATGCGTGTTTTGCCTGTACTGCACAGGCTCCAAGTGTAAGTTCACCGGGAGTCCCAGGCTGGCTCAGGAGGCTGCCTTGGTTCGAGGGCTTAGCTGGCAACAACCACTCTCCTCGCCTTCTCAGGAGGTGCCACCCGCTGTGGTTCTCTGCAAGACAGAAGTGCTCCCCACCAAAAGAGCACAGACTCCTGGCTAGAGCAGGGAGTACTAGGTTCCCATGTGGGGCCAACTCAAGTCCAGCCAGAGCCTGGAAGCCTCACTCCAGTCTAGCTGCCATCGTCAGGTGGGGGAGTGGAGGCCAGGGGTGGGGGAGACATGAAGGAGAGTGGGATTCCCAGAGAAGTAGCATTGTGGAGGAGGAAGGTGGGACAGGAGTGGCTCCAGCGCAGGGCGTCAGGACACAGGGTCACGGAGCCTCCGTCTCTCTCTCATTCTGGGTGGGCCTGTTGAGAAGCTCAAGTGCGTCTTCCACCACCTGCCACAGGCAGTTGTCCAGTGGGAAGTCATTGTCCACCAGGTTGACCAGGAAGTAGTTGTCGTGGATGTACTGGATGATCGTGCGGGATGGAGACGACTCCTCATACAGCTTGCCCCACTGCTCAATCCACAGGGCGAAGGCCTCGTCCTACACACACACCACACACCCCCCGCAACGCACACATGCACACACGCACACACACACACACGCACACACACAGATGCAAGATTAACAGGGCTCTCCAAGGGCTCTGCTCAACAGGACATTTCCCGGAATAGAACAAGGCCCACTGCCAGCATCACTTCCCACCCCTGCCCAGAAGCAAACACCCTGCGTCAGCAGTGACACGGGTGAGTGAGTCAGAGCTGGGTATGCCCTGAAGGCTGGGTCCAGCAGGCCCAGGGTGTGGCCTTCAGCACACGCTTGGGACTTGGTCCCAATCCCTCCCCAGGGTTTTCCAGGTAGGCAGGGCAAGCTTGCTCCCGGCTCCTTTACCTTCCAGAACATGAAGCTGATGGGATCCACTACGGTGGGCTGGATGATCTCTCGCCCGGGGAAGATACCCCAAGTGACAGCATTCGGCTGCAGTTCGGGGGCATTGGTGATGTTTTCACCCTGGGGGGTGTGGTGTGGGGGTAAGACCTGGGCTGAGGACAAATGGAGTCCCAGTGCCTGGACAGCCTTGACTCACTGGGGCCATGCGGGCTTAATACCCTCTGCCTGCGCCTCCACTCCTGGCCTCCACTCTCCCTGCACCTCCAATCCCCTCTCCCTGTGCCTCTACTCCTGGCCTCCTCCACCTGCATCTATGAATGACATCTCTCTCCACACAAGCCCAAACCTAGAGGCGTCCTGGCCACTTCCCCCTCCTCCCTGAGCACCCCCTGCTCACTCTCTGATCCATTCCCTCTTGTCTAGCCCACCTCCAGGACTGTGTTTGGCTTGGGTCACTCCAGGGGTCTCTCTGCTGGCCTCACCGGCTCTAGCCTTCCCCAGTCCCTATCATCTGTACGACGATCCACCATTATTTGATTCAAATAAAGCAGGAACCAAGCTACTCCACTGCTGGAGAAAGGCTCCCCTTGCATTTAGGGAAAACTCAAATTCCAGCAGGACAACCATGCCCTCTGCGGGCCTGGCCCCTACTTAACACTCCCACCTCCTCCTGCTTGTGTTCCTGGTTTCCCCAGATGGTGTGGCTCACTGCCTCTGCCTGTCCTCTGTCCTGTCCCAGGAATACCCTTCTCTCCTGTTGGCCAACTCCTCTTTGTCCTTGGTGATTCCCACACCACCCCTCTGAGAAGCCTTCCCTGGCCTCCCAGGTGAGACATCCCTCCTCTGGATCTGACAGCATCCTTTCCTGAACTTGATTTTCCCACTTACACTGGCTGGTGGTCACACATTGATTTGCCTCCCTCACTAGGCTGGGAGCTCCTTAAGAGCAGGGGCCCAGTTCTGCCTGTATCTCTCTGTCTTGCACAATGCCTAGCGCAGGTTAGGTGCTGGGTGTTTGCCAAACGAAGGGCCTGGTACTCTGGGAACCCCGGGGCCTGGCCTACCTTCACATTGACAAGGTGGTAATTAACCCGGAGCTCGTACTTCTTCAGCACTTGCAGAAGCGCTTCCGCTGTCTCACGGGAAGTGAAGAACTCTAAGTAGGCCTGTGGGAGAGACAGACGCCTGTCACCAACCCCAGCCCTGCCAGACGCCCCTTCACCGACACCTAAGGTATCAGAACTAGTGGCGGCCATGTGGGCAGAATAATGAACTGTGGCGTTGGCACATCCATAAGCAAAGGGTGAGGGGGGTGGGGAGGTGAGTTTCTCAGTCTGGACAGGTTTGAGGGCTATTGGCCACCCCTCTCCCCATCAGTCAGGGAAGACTCCATGAAGAAGTCATTTCTGAACAGTGGCAACTGGTTTGACAAGCTGAGCCAGGAGAGAGAGGCCCCACACATTCCATCCTCCCTAGTCACTGCAAGGTGACAATGACATGCCATCTCCTCTAGGACCAGTGCCTATCAGGGATTAAGCTGGGTTTACTCAAACTCATTTGCTAGAATGCTCATAATACTGGAGGCTGGGCACAGTGATCCCCACATGAGGAAAGTGGGTTCAGCGAAGTTGAACATGTTGGCTACTCTGAAAGTAAACAGAACTGGTCCTTAAACTCAGGTCTTTCTGCTCCAGGGACCGTGGGCCTGGTTCAGAACATAATGTTAACTCCAGCAGCCCTGGGAGAAAGATGTCAACTCAGGATAGTAACAGCTGCTGCCTTTCAGGGAGTACTTCCTGCTCTTCCCATGTGCCAAGCACGTTACATGCTTTGTTAGGTTTCATGCCCAGAACACAAGCTACATCCCATTTTACAGATGAGAAAACCAGGCTCAGAGAGGTCAACTGACCTGCCTCCATAGGTCTGATTTCTACTTTTTTTTTTTTCTGAGATGGAGTCTCGCTTGGTTGCCCAGGTTGGAGTGCAGTGGCATGATCTCAGCTCACTGCAACCTCTGCCTCCCGGGTTCAAGCGATTCTCCTGCCTCAGCCTCCCGAGTAGCTGCAACTACAGGCACCCGCCACCACACCCAGCTAATTTTTGTATTTTTAGTAGAGACGGGGGTTCACCATGTTGGTCAGGCTGGTCTCAAACTCCTGACCTTGTGATCTGCCCACCTCGGCCTCCCAAAGTGCTGGGATCACAGGCATGAGCCGCCAAGCCCAGCTGATCTTTTTTTTTTTTTTTCTTGAGACAGGGTCTCACTTTGTGGGCCAGGCTGGAGTTCAGTGGCACATATATGGCTTACTGGAGCCTCAACCTCTCGGGCTCAAGCGATCCTCTCACCTCAGCCCCCCAAGTACCTGGGACTACAGGTGTGCACCACCATGCCTGGGTCATTTTTGTATTTTTTGTAGAGAAGGGGTTTCACCATGTTGCCCAGGCTGGTCTCGAACTCCTGGGCTCAAGTGATCCACCCGCCTCAGCCTCCCAGCCGGGCTCCGTGCCCAGCCAGGTCTATCTGACTTAAAGCATGAGCTCCCATCCGCTCTGATCCATGCTCACTCAAAATTAAGAGCCCAGGAGAGGCAGGTTGCTCTGCCCTAAGCTCTGGGGAACCCGTGGGTGCCTGTCAAGAGAGGGGGGCACCCTGTGCCTCCCTACCACACCTTCTGGAAGACATAGCCCCCGCTGGGGCCCCAGCCCACGACGGGGTCAGAGGACGGCTTCCCGTTGATGTTGGGCTGTGAGTTGATGGTGAGAATGCCCTGGCGGTTCACCCGCAGCAGCTCCTCCTTCAGCAGGCTGGTCTCGGCTGCCAGGGGCTCATCGTTCCAGGGCAAGCAAGTCACCTGGGAGAGACGGTGAGCTGCCTGGGGCGACCATCAGGTTTGGCACCCCAAGTCCCTCTTACGGCCCACAACAAAGACCCAGCCTGTCTTTGCCTCCCTAAGCCCTTCCAGGTGGAGGCTTCCCAACTCACCCTTCTCCCTTTGCCAAGGTGCCATGTCCACAGCATGGAGAGGAGGGCACAGGGTGGGGAAGTCACAGCCCCGCAGCCTGGCCTGCAGCTGGGGTCAGGCCATGGGCAGGGGATGAACCAGGGACCCCAGCCCAGCGTGACTCACTTTGTGACCATTCCGGTTTGGCTCTCCCGAGAGGTAGAGAACAAAGACTTCAAAGACACTTTCTTCACTGGTCAGCTCCTCCCCCCACATCTTCAGCAGCAACTCCCTGGGGGACTTGCTCTTCAGGTAGAAGAGGTAGTAGTCCTTCAGCTCCCCAAAGGCAGGGGAAGAGGAATTGCCCCTGGCAGAGGGGTGCCCAGAGGTCAGGGCACACTCCCGACAGAGGGCAGTGCCACCACAGGCCCAGGAGGCCATTCCTGTAAATCCTGTCCTGACTCCTCCCAGGTCAACCACAAGCATGCAAACAACTTCTGCCCTCCTCCTCCCAAGAACAAAGATGTATTTGCAAGGAAGGTCTGCAGCCCCTCACCAGCGGCCGTTGGGGAACTCGTCCCACTCCTGGGTACGGTAGATGTAACTCTTTGGTCTGGAGGCCCAGAAGATGGGACGTACATCTTCTTCTCGGCGCTTGGGGTGGGCGCTGAGAGCCCAGGGCAGGGGACGCCTGGGTGAGGATGGGGACAGAGAACTGAGACGAGGGACTGGCTAGAGGGGGCCGGAAGCAGGGGAGCACCACTGAGGCTGGGTTCTTCCATCTGACGCCCTCTGAGACTGGAGCCCTCGGTGTGCCCAGCTAGCCATGACACAGACATACGTCCGTACCACCGTGAGGAGCCAGCGCTGCAGCCGGGACTGCTCTTGGACCCTTCTCTGGGGATCGCTGGGCCACTGCCCTCACCTGGGGTCCTCAGTCCACATCCCCAGGCGCTTCAGCACCTCTGTGGTAGCCATCTCGCGGTTGAGGGTGTAGAAGTGGAGGCCTGGCACCAAGCCACTGGCCAGAAGCTCGTGGCACAGGCTCACAGCCAGCTCGATGCCATAGTTGCGGATGGCAGCATCATTGTCTTTGATTGGCTCAATCACGTCCTTGATCTCCTGTGGCACCTCTAGCTTGGACAGCTTCACAAGCTGCCGAAGGGAGTGGTAGCCCTGTCCAAAACACGAGGGGCTGTGGCAGCCGTCGGCCAGCCCGTCTCCCACCCTCTTCCGTCCTCCGCACCAACCGCAGTGTCAGGCAGAGGGAGCCAGGAAAATCTGGTCATATGCCAGGAGCACACCTGAGCTTGACCTGCCATTTTCTGCCCTTTTTTTTCTGTTTTTAGAGATGGGTCTCGCTGTTCTCAAATGCCAGGGTTCAAGCCATCCTCCTGCCTCAGCTTCTCAAGTGGCTGGGACTACAGGCACATGCCACTATGCCCGGCCTTTCTACTTTTTACAGAGTAGAGCAGCTGCCCTAAGCATTCTAGCCTTGGGTTGAGCCAGCCTTTTAGCACTAGATGCGTCTGTTGATAACATGGTATCATCTCACCCAGTTGTCCCCATGCTGCACTGATCATCAGAACCGCCTGCCAAGCTCAAGAGGCAAAACACAAACTCCCAGGGCCTCCCTCAGATTTACTGAGTCAGAACTTCCAGGGGTGGGGCCTGGAGATCCATTTTTTAGAAAAGCTTATCAAGTGGTTCTGATGACCGCCACGTTTGGGAAACACTGGCTTAACCAGGATTTGTAAAGAGAATGAGAATCCCTTTTGGTGATGCCTGTCGGCCAAAGTACAACAAACCCCTCAATAGACACTGTTGCTGGGTTTTGGGGGGAAAATTAGAGGTAACCAAAATGGGGTGGCCAAGCAACGCTGTGCAAGTTCTGGACCTGAGAGGGGATCTGGGAAGAACTCAGTGAACTCAGCACTCCACCCAGAGCCCCCAGCCTATGTGAGGACGATGCGGTGGGAGTGGGGTGGAGGGAGCTTATGGGCCCTGCTGGGCCCCTCACCTGGATGGGAAAGATCCCGGGGACGATGGGGCAAGTGATACCCATGTCGGTGCATGCCTTCACAAAGCGGAAGAATGTGTCAGCCTCAAAGAAAAGCTGTGTGATGATGAAATCGGCTCCCGCGGACACCTTCTCCTTTAAGTGCTTCAGGTCAGCCTCAAAGCTCCCTGCTTCAGGGTGGCCTTTGGGGTAACCTGCCAATAGGGATGACAGTCGGGAGAGGCTGGCCTCCACCTGTTCAAGGTGAGGGATGAAGAGACCACAGGGACTAGGCACAGAGAGCCCTCTGCTTCGGAGGCTCCGATCTTGCACCTTCCAACAGCACAGCATGGCCTGAACTAAAACGGTAAATGGCTGGGCTCATGACTGATATGCTTCCGACCCTGGAGATGACTCTCAGGGGAGGTGGCTCAGAGCCCCCTTCCAAGAATCGGGGTGGATTGCTCCAAACTCCCACACTGTCCTGCCTCGAGCAGCCAAGCAAATCTGGCCTGCACTTGGTGGCCATGGATAAGAGAAAATGCTACAGTTAGCAGAGCATCTGGGGTTGACTTTTCTTTAGGCACTAGATTAAACATTGTTAAAAAGAAAAGCTTGACTTTTCTTTAGGCACTGGATTAAACATTGTTTTTAATGTAACATTGAAATTACCCAGGGGTCCGAGACAGTGAAAAGCTAGAAACCAAGTTACACAAGAAAGAACGGAAGAAAGTGATGTTTTGTTCAAAGAAAAGAACGGATGGCAGGGTGTGGTGGCTCATGCCTGTAATCCCAGCACTTTGGGAGGCCAAGGCAGGAGGATGACCTGAGGTCAGGAGTTCGAGACCAGCCTGGCCAACACGGTGAAACCCTGTCTCTACTAAAAACACAAAAATTAGCCACGTGTGGTGGTACATGCCCATAATCCAGCTACTCAGGAGGCTGAGACAGGAAAATTGCTTGAATCCGCGATGCAGAGGTTGCAGTGAGCTGAGGTCATACCATTGCACTCTAGCCTGGGCAACGAGAGCAAAACTCTGTCTCAAAAAAAAAATAAAAAAAGAAGAAAGAAAAGAGTGAAGAGAATACAGAAACTCCTCTCAAATGTCCAAAGGTCTGTCCTGGGGAAAAAGGATCCACCGTAGGTGAGTTTTTTTGTTTTGTTTTGTTTCAGAGACAGGGTCTTGCTCTGTCACCCAGGCTAGAGTGCAGTCGTGCAGTCATGGCTCACTGCAGCCTCGACCTCCTGGGCACAAGTGATCCTCCCACTTCAGTCTCCTGAGTAGCTGGGACTACAGATGCATGCCACCACATCTGGCTAATTAAAAAAATTTTTTTTTAATTAATTATTTATTTTTTAGAGATGGGGTCTTGCTATCTTGCCCAGGTTTGTCTGGAACTTCTGGGCTCAAGCAATCCTCCCACCTTGGCCTCCCAAAGTGCTGAGATTACAGGCATGAGCCACTGTACCCAGCTCCCTAGTCAAGTTCTTTATTAGTCATATTCTGTGTTGTTTCTAATGGCAAAACCGGCATCCGGTTCAGAGAGCTGCCTAGAGTACAACAAGCCACTCACAAAACAATGAGCTCCCGGAGCCTGAAAACACAGGGGCAGTGGATGCCCAAGACAGGATTCCGGAATTCCTTGGGAAGGTGAGACCAGGTGTCCCGTAGGCTCCTTACCGGCTCTGTGAACTCTCTGACCCCTTTCCTAAATGACTAAACTTACTAGCAGCCTTGCTTGGTCAGGCTAGGACGACCACAGGCCTTCACGTAACGACATGGAGTGCTGGTTTCGTCAGCCCAAGCCCAGGGCAGGACCCTGAGACAGGTGGAAAGTCAAGCTGCTCTGCTCTGATAAGGCCGTTCCGTTCTTAAGAAACCCAGAGTCATCAAAAATGAATATAAAAACTATGGTTTCAAGGGGTAAGGGAGTGGGGGATAAAGCACTGGGGCTTCACACTTTCAATAAGAAAGCTGTTTTCCCAGTAGGAATTTCAGAAACAACAAGGCTTTTTAACAGCTGAAACGATAGCTATAATACCTAATATTACCGAACACGTCTAGCATTTGATTACATATAGATTTTGCTATTTACTCTATTTTTCTATCATGAACAGCTGAGTGCTTTCTGTTTAAATTTTTTGTGTATTTTTTGTAGAGACGGGACTCTCACTATGTTGCCCAGGCTGGTCTTGATCTCCTGCCTCAGTCTCCCAAAGCTCTGGGATTACAGGCATGAGCTACCATGCCCAACAGGTTGGTGTTTTCTAATTCACTGATCTTCATTACCCACTTGATCAGCAAAGTAAGAAACCATTCAGCAACTGTGAGCTCACAGCTTCGCTAGTTTCCAATCATGATCACGTAACGCCCATCACTGGTGCACACTCCCCCATTAACTGACTATATTGTGGCTGATACAAGCGATGACAATTTAACAGTTGGGAATGCCTGTTCTCTGACTCCTAATCAGTGCTTCCCAGACTTAACACCTAAACGCCCCTGTTGACAGAATAGACATATCCATGGGGGGTTAGGGACAAGGCCAAAGTCACCCACAACAAGTAATTTTCTTGAAGCCACATGGTTTTTGTTTGTTTGTTTGTTTGTCTTGCTCTGTTGCCCAGGCTACAGTGCATTGGCGTGATCTCGGCTCACTGCAAGCTCTGCCTCCCAGGTTCAAGCGATTCTCCTGCCTCAGCCTACCGAGTAGCTGGGACTACAAGCATGCGCCACCACGCCTGGCTAATTTTTGTATTTTTAGTAGAGACGGGGTTTCACTATGTTGGACAGGATGGTCTCGAAGTCCTGACCTCATGATCTGCCCACCTTGGCCTCCCAGAGTGCTAGGATTATAGACTTGAGTCACTGCACCCGGCCTTTTTTTTTTTTTTTTTTAGTTCATATCACTTTAGATACCACTCCATAACGTAGCCATGTTTAATATAAAAATGGTAGGATTTCTCCCAAAATATTGGCAAAAAACTATCATCCCAGAAAATGTGCCAATCCCAGGAATTCCTGTCCCTGGCGCACACTGCCTCGCCATACCTGAGCCCTGTCTGAGATGCCGAGGGCTCAATCCCAGCCTTTAGCTTCAAGGGTGGGAGGGAAGTCCAACCCACCATTTCTGTTGGGTAAACCTGGTCTTGTGGCTGTGGCCAATGGTGATTCTCTCTCCTGGGAATTTGGAATGGAGGCCCATCCATTAGCCTGGGGAACTGGCTGGAGCTGACACTCTGCACACTTAGGAGCAGGCCAGGTGTGTGGAAAAGCATGGGCATCAGGTCTCCCAAACGAAGCACAGATGTGCAGTGGGAAGTGGAGACGGGGGACCCTGTGGCGCCAGAGGGAATGAGGGAGGTCCTTGCATTTTGACCTCTTCCAGTGCCTCGTGAGATCTGAGGCCATCGCCTGACCTTGGGTTCCCTGCCCTCTGGAATCCTGTTAGTAAATTTCCCTCTTTTGTGGGGTGTTTTGTTTTGTTTTGAGATGTAGTCTTGCTCTGTCACTGAGGCTGGAGTGCAGTGGCACAATCTCGGCTTATTGCAACCTCCGCCTTCTGGGTCCAAGGGATTCTCCTGGCTCAGCCTCCTGAGTAGCTGGGACTACAGGCGTGCACCACCATACTCAGCTAATTTTTGTATTTTTAGTAGATGGGGTTTCACCATGTTGGCCAGGCTGGTCTCGAACTCCTGACCTCAGGTGATCTGCCTGCCTTGGCTTCCCAAAGTGCTGGGATTACAGGCGTGAGCCACTGCGCCCGGCCCCCTCTTTTGTTTTAAAGAAAAGAATAAGGCCTAGAAGCAGGCTAAGGGCACAGCCAGGCAGAGGAACAAAAAGCTAAGGGTCGATGGTGGCAGGCCCAGGAGGGGAGTAGGTGATATAAAAGGAGCAAGGACATGGTACAATTCACCTCTGCATGTCCCTCATCCAGCATGGACCCATAGGTGCATCTGATCACTGTGTCCTTCACCGAACACTGACAGGCTATCTGAGCCTCCCTAGCTCCATCCCCGCCACCAGGATGATCCAGTCACTCACCTGCCACACAGAGGTCAAAGTAGTCACCAAACTCACTTCGGATGTGCTTCACCAGGTCCACTGCGTAGTTGAAGCCTCCCTCCTCCTCTTCCCACTGGTCACCTATGGGGTCTGCAGGGTTGGTGGAGGTCATGGTCACTGGGTCTCACCCAACCTCCAGAGAGCCTTTCTGTTCCCTCTACCTAGCCCTGACACCTAGGACTGCGAGTCCCTGAAAGGCAGAAACTTCGTATTATTTAGGTTTGGTTCTTCTCTTTCTAGCCCTTGGTAAGACAGTGAGAGGGAAGAAAACAGCCCACCCGTTCAGTATTCACTGCGTGCTGACCCTGTGCTGACAGTGGAGAATAGGAGACCACTGCCGCTCCTCACTGTGCCTGGAGGACTGGAGAGCCCTTCCCTACTTCTACCTGGGCACGCCTGCCACCCTCTCCCATCCCACGGCCTTAGGGCTCCTGCCTCCTGGGAGAATTTTCTACTCAAGTGAAGGGGTCTTGTGGTGGGGAGCAGGAGGCCACAGGACCCCACCCCTCAGGCTCCCTCTTCCCACTCTTGGGTGGCCTGACGACAGCAGGCACCAGAGGCCTAACCGGCTATTCTCACTCCCGGATACTCTGTGATTGGGCCAAGTGCTGGGTGCAGCCAGCAATCGATGCAGTGGTATAGGCAGGGCAGAGGGTTATCAGGCTGCGACTGCATTCCCGACGGAACTCCTACGTCGAGGTCAAGAGTTGGAAGAGGTGGCTGCCTGTGTGGGGTGCCCAGGGTGACTCACTGCCCACAACGCCTGCTGACACTACTGGCGGGGATGGGATCCTGCGGATCCTCAGCGTGGGGCCCAGGGAGCAGTAAAGGACCGTTTCAGGAACCAAGTTCAGGCTACAAGTGGCCTCTGGGAAAGCCAGAACCCAGAGTGTAGGAGTGCTGGCTCCACACCTCCCCGCAGCGCCATGATGTTCTTCAGGCCCAGCTGCTTGGCTTTGTGCAGATGGCCCGTGATCTCCTCCAGGCGCTGACAGCAGCAGGTCATGTGCAGGATGGTCTCCAGGCCACAATAGTTCACGGCGGTGCTGGCGATCATCATGGAGGAGGTCTCCTTGTCTGAGCCAGGGTCACCTGCTGGGTGCCAGGTCACATCTATGAAGAGGGGGCCGCCTGCCGCCATCCGGTCAAACCTGTAGGGGGTTTGTTTCTGAAGAGAGGTTCCAGGGGAAATACCATCCCTCACTGCCTTCCCACGGGGCCCGGGGGTTAGAGAAGCATAAATGAAGGTTGGAGACAGACCAATCAGTGTTCATATCCTGGCTTTGCTACTTATAGCTGTATGATCTTGGGTACATTACTTAACCTCTGTGAGTTCTGTTTCCTTATTTATAAGATGCAGCAGATAATGGTAACCACTTCATAATAACACTAGGAGGCTAAGTGCAGTGGCTCACGCCTGTAATCCCAGCACTTTGGGAGGCTGAGGCGGGCGGATCATTTGAGATCAGGAATTCAAGACCAGCCTGGCCACATGGTGAAACCCCATCTCTACTAAAAATACAAAAATTAGCTGGGTGTGGTGGTGGGTGCCTGTAATCCCAGCTACTTGGGAGGCAGAGGCAGAGGCAGGAGAATTGCTTGAGCCAGGAGGCGGAGCTTGCAGTGAGCTGAGATCACACCACTGCACTCGGGCCTAGGCTGCAGAGTAAGACTCCGTCTCAAAAAAAAAAAAAAAAAAGCAGCAACAACAACAAAAAACCATAACAACACTAGGAGAATATGACGGCAGCTGGTTCCACAGCACTTAGAACAGTGCCTGGTGTACAAACCAAATACTCAGTATATATGAGGTGCCGTCGTGATCACTATTACAGAGGTAAGACACAATAACAGCGCCACCATTTTGTGAGAGCAGCACTTCAGACTTTTCACAGCGTTTGCCCATTTATTATCTCGCGTGAGTTAAGACATCGTGGTTGAGAGTCAGGGGAATCCTAACTGTGGCAAGCACAGCCTCGCCGTAGGAACAGTTAGAAAGAGGGTCGGCAGACTCACGTTTCTTTCATGCCACCCCCCAAGCCCTGTGCAGCAGCTTACAGTTGTGCAGACCAAGGCCAAGTTCCGAAACGAGACTCAAAAGCCTGGATGTGCACGAGTACTTGTGTTACAAGCTATCGGCGGTGTATTTAAACATCCTTGTGCGTTTAAACTTCAAAAACTTGGGAGTGACACGTGAGAAGTGCAAACAGTAAAAGCCATAAACTTTAAAAAAAAAAACAAAACTGCAATTCATGAAGTGCTAATGTAATTCAGTTGGCATTTCTAGATTTCAGGAAGCATAATCCAAATTTCTAACTTGCTGAAAACATTCTTACTGCTTTGTGACTTCCTAAACTGCACTCGTGATCCAGCCCCCAAGTTCCACCAAAGAATATACTGTGAGAATCAACATTTTTAACCCATTGAAGAGTGTGTCTAAAATACCCTTGACACTGTGGAGGGACTTTTACAGGCAAGAGAAGTGGCAGATCAGATGACCCACTCTGCCTTCTCCTTCCTGCCTGCTCTGGCTGCTTTTTTCTGCCGGGTTAAAGGGCAGCCCAGCCTCAGGGCTGACAGTTGGCTCCCCAGGAACCAGAACTCCCCGCCCCCACCTTAACCTTGCATCAATTTACCTTGAGATGAGATTGACAGCTCCCTCAGCAGTTCGAGGAGGGAAGAATTCCAAAGAGAACCACTTGTCACCAGATTCCATTCGCCGCCTCATCTTGTCCCGGAGTCTCTCATGCCGCTCGGGGTCCAGGCCCGGGGTGGAACATCTCGAACTGTCTTTGGAGCTCTCGCTGCTACTGCTGGCACTGCCCTCCAAACAGGGGTTGAGGCTGCCATTTCCTCTGGCTTCGTTCACCATGGCCAGGTTCCTGCTGCACGGGGTGGGGCAGGGAGCATCAGGGGGCAGGCAGCCACACCCCCGGCACACCGAGACACCTGAGTGGCAGGTTCAAGCCGGAGGTGCTGTATTTCCACACAGGAAGAAGGCCAAAAAAGGTGACACTGCCCCCTCCCAGTGGCTCCATGCTACTCAGCTATGACTGTCGGGGCCGCCTCACTCAAAGCCTAGCCCTCCGCTGCTGCCAGGTTCCTTGCATGCAAGGCAGCCCCCACCCGGCACTACAACGTGCTCCTCGGTGACAGCTACCTGATGGAAGGTGCCACAGAGAACCTCACACTGCCAGCCTGCGAGGCCCATATTCCTAGTGAGGGGCAGTAGTGCCCAGCTGGGAGGACCCTGGCTTTTCGATGGTCCATCTCTGTCAGCTAGGCCCAGAGTGCGTGGGGAGGGAACAGAGGCACCTTCCCCAGCGGGTGGGTGTGTTCAACTGGGCGGAGCTGCGACAAAGGAAGAGGCCTGAGCTCGAGCCAGCACAAGGGGGCGGGGGCAAGACTTCCAGGCGAGGAGGAAGGGCTGAGACTCTAGTAAGGGGAGGCGGATGGAAGGAGGGGGACTCGGGCAGAGATTGCAGGGGTTGGTGGAGATGAGGAACAGCTCACTCTGGCTGGCTCTGCCTGGAACATCTGTTACTTGAAACAGTGTGTGCGCAGGATGGAAGGGGTGAGGGTTTGACTATGCAGCCAGCTTTGTCCTGAGTTCATGCTACTCCAAAAAGACCGTGTCGTGGGTTAGAACTGGACGCTGGCCATATTCCAAAAATAGCCAGACCCAAGTTCAGTAAGGGCACGAATTTCTCAGAACAAAAGCTGCCCCATCTGTGCTTGCCTTGCAGGCTGGTCTTCTTACACACCACAGAATTCAATTAAAATCATCACAGTGACCCAGCTACTGGGAAGGCTGAGGCAGAAGGATCACCTGAGTCCAGGAGTTCAAGGCCAGCCTGGGCAACATAGTGAGACTCCATCTCTAAAAAAAACAAAAAACACACCTGTAATCCCAGCACTTTGGGAGGCCGAAGCGGGTGGATCACCTAAGGCCAGGAGTTTGAGACCAGCCTGACCAACATGGTGAAACCCCGACTCTACTAAAAATATAAAAATTAGCCTGGCTTGGTGGTGGGCGCCTGTAATCCCAGCTACTCGGGAGGATGAGGCAGGAGAATCGCTTGAATCTGGAAGGCAGAGATTGCGGTGAACGGAGATTGCACCACTGCACTCCAGCCTGGGGCACAAGAGCGAAACTCCGTCTCAAAAAAAAAAAAAAAAAAAAAAAAAAAAAAAGAAGTGCTATGGTTTGAATATGTCTCCCAAAGTTTGTGTGTTGGAAGCATAATTTCCAACACAATCATGTTGAGAAGTGGGGCCTTTAAGAAGTCATTAGATCATGAAGATGCTGCAATCATGAAGGGATTGATGGAGTTATTGTGGGAATAGGTTGATTCTCTCAGGAGTGGGTTCTTGATAAAAGGATGAGTTTGTCCCCCTTTTCCTAGTTCAGTCTAGTGTGCTATCTTGCCTTTCTGCCTTCTGCCATGGGATGATGCAGCATAAAGGCCTTCACCAGATACCAGCACCATGCTCTTGGACTTCTCAACCTCCAGAACTGTAAACCATATAAATTTCTATTGTTTATATAAAATTATGCAATTTCTGGTAGTCTTATAACAGAAAACAGACGAAGACAATATAGTTGTCCCTCAGTATCTGTGAGGGATTGGTTCCAGGACCTCCTAAGGATACCAAAATCCTTGGATGCTCAAGTCCTTGATATAAAATGGTAGGTAGTATTTGCATATAACTATGTGCATCTTCCTGTATATTTTAAATAATCTCTAGATTACTTATAATACCTAATATTATGTGAATGCTATGTAAATACTTGTTTTACTGTATTGTTTAGGGAATAATGACAAGAAAAAAAAGACTTTACATGTTCAGTACACAAGCAATTTTCTTTTTTTTTTTTTTTTTGAGACGGAGTCTCACTCTGTCGACCAGGCTGGAGTGCGATGGTATGATCTCGGCTCACTACAACCTCCGTCTCCCAGCGATTCTCGTGCCTCAGACTCTAGAGTAGCTGGGATTACAGGCATGAGCCACCACGCCTGGCTAATTTTTGTATTTTTAGTAGAGACGGAGTTTCACCATATTGGCCAGGCTGGTCTTGAACTCCTGACCTCAGTTGATCTGCCCATCTCGGGCTCCCAAAGTGTTGGGATTACAGGCATAAGCCACCACGCCTGGCCTCACAAGCAACTTTTAAAAATATTTTTGATCCACAATGGTTGAATCCATGGATGTGGAACCCATGGACGTGGAAGGCCAACTGTATATGTTAGCATTAACCATACGTCAGAATAGTACCAGCTGCTAAAGAATCTACTGGGTGTTGCTGGGCGCAGTGGCTCAAGCCTGTAATCCCAGCACTTTGGGAGGCCGAGGCGGGTGGATCACGAGGTCAGGAGATC